GCGGCGGAGCGCCCCGTCTGCACCGCGGCCTTTCCTGAGCTGATCGGCCACGCGCGTTTTAAACACGTAGCTGAAACCACAGGCTGTGCAGCTCCCATCCGTTTTTGCCGCTCAACTCAGCGTGGGCAGCCTTTCCTCCATTAACTACTGTGTGACCCAGTATTTTCCTACAGTTGGACCTTCTGGTTGTATAGTTTTTAACTATAAAACTGTGAAAAAAACCCAAACTAAACGTATTTGCACGGATCGGTGTCCACATTCGGCAGCATTGCCTGAGGGTGGCTATTGGGAGGGGAGGGGCTGTCTAAGAGTGGGACATCCTAGACGTTGGGTGGCCGTTGCCAAGGAGGATAGTACTGTTGACACACCGCAAGGATGAGGGTTGGCAGACCCAGTGCACACTGGACGCTGAGATTTATGTCCACTTGCTGATGAAAGATGCCACCTGTTGTTTTCAAACCCGTTTGAAGTAAGGTGCTCAGAAGTGAGCCCTGCTGGTATCAGGGAAAGCCTCTCTAGGCCTGGGGACGGCTCTAGAAGGAGCCAAAGGCCCCAGTGTTGGTGGCATGTGCAAGGTGGACAGTGTGTGCTCATCAGAGGTAGGGTTCTAAGTGGTGCTATCTCAGCTGTACACCCCGAGGAGAATACAAGCAAGACTTCTGAAGAATAAATATTTGGAGGTGTTGACGTGCATGGAATCATCTAAGGATAGATAATGGCCCTGCCTTTCCTGCTCCAAGTTTGAAAATCAGCTGCCATTCAAGTTCCCACAGTGTTTAACCTACAGTAAGAGAAAACCCCCAGCCCTTCCCCAGTGCGCCCCACCTTCCCATGAAGCCTCTGAGTGCCTCCTTCAACCTGGCCCCTGTTGCACTTGGTTCCTATTTCTAACTTTCTAAATCTCCCAGCAATTTATTCCTAGACGTCCTTGCTTGTTGCAATCCAGTCTGCGCCCGTCTCTTCTGCTCATCAAGATCTGTTGCCTCTGTTTCTGACGCAGAACAGTGTTGTGTTGGGAAATCTGACTTCCTATTACTTCAAACCGTGGGGTACAAAAGTGGGAAAACAAGATTCCCTCCATTCTTTACCACCCATTTCTTGCTTCGGTGGGGAAAAGGGAATTTGTTTAATTACGCTGTTAAACCATGATTTTCAGCAAAAGGTAAAATCATGACTTTTGTACAGATATAAAAATGAGCACATGGTAAAGATTTTATTTTATTCATTAAGGAGAGGAACAGATAGATGTTATAACTGGTTCAAAAAGTGAAGAAGTTCACGTTTATATGGAGCAAGGGAATGCCTCAGGAAGGCATGCTTAGGAGAGGAGCATGCGCTGGGAACTTGCAGATCAGCCGCTCAGCAGTGATCCTCACAGATTTTGACTTGTAATTTTGTAGAGGGATTTGCCTGTGGGGAGCAGGGCAGAGGCCACAGAGTCACTCTTGGGAGAGAGCCTAGTAGTCACACAGACAGTAGGAAAGAATTGTGCATTCACTGCTAGCCACTGGGGACATTGTGAAAGAACATGGCCACCAGGGTGTCCCTTGACAGAGAGGCATGTCCTGGCTGTGCCCTGAGCCACAAAGAATGCCTTAACTTTCAGAGGTTTCCCCAATGGAGACCACAGATCTGGGGGTGCTCAAGGTGTGGCCCCAAGCACACTAGCTGTGATACAGAAAAGCCTTTCTTTTCTTTCTTCTTCTTCTTTTTTTTTTTATTTGAGACAGGGTCTTGCTCTGTTTCTCAGGATAGAGTGCAGTGGTGTGATCATAATTCATGGCAACCTCCAATACCTGGGCTCACATGGTGTTCCTGCCTTGGTCTCCGGAGTAGCTAGGATTACAGCTGTGTGCTACTACACCTGGCTGTTTTAAAAAAATTTTTGTAGAGAGAGGGTCTTATTATTATGCCCATGCTGGTTTTGAATTGGCCTCAAGTGATCCTCCTACTTTAACCTCCCAAAGTGCTAGGATTTCAAGTCAGAAAGGCTTTTCTCAACACACGTGCTGAGGACCCTACCACACTTACCAGACACACATCCTGGCCTGTGCAGTAGGAAGCTAAAGCCTCTTCTTCACAGTGGAGATGCTCTAATGTATAAGAGATTTTGAGTGAAATAAAATCCTTAACATGTGTTTGTTTTTACATTTAAGAGTGATGGTTTTACTTTCTTCTGAAAATTATCTTTTAATAAAGGTGTCATTTTAGGGAGAAAGAAGCAAAAATCCTAAAAGATATATATAGAAAATGTGCTTGGAGTACAGTCAATTGCTGTCACAGGTATGTTCCCTGAGACTTCCTAGGGCCAGTCAATAGAAGTCTTGTCTGCCCTGCTCACTGTGGACTTGGCCCCTGGTGCACAGGCATGGGCTAACTGCCACGGTCACGTGAAGGGTCTGGGCAGGAGTCCAGCCCCCAAATGTGCCATACCCAGGCCGCTCCCTTGAGAGAATAACCTTTCAGGATCAGTCCAGAGTACTACTCTCCTGGCTGTAAACATTCCTTTTGGAAAGTGGATATCAAATGAAGATAAAATTAAAAAAAAATGCAGATAAGAAGCTGCCTTGGAATGGCCTGGATTTTCTGTGGTCCCTGGGCCCTCATAGGACAGCTCAGGTAAGAAATCTATCCAAGGAATTGGTTCTCAACAAATACTGCTGTAGGGAGTAACATTTATTGCTACTGACGCTGAATTGTTGTCTCTTACTGATAATAGTTCTATGAGTGAAACAAACCCAAGACAACTAGTGTCCTTGTCTTTGATTAGACAACTAGTTGTGGATTTCTTTCCCTTTAAAATTACTTGTTTTCTAATTATGAAACACTAAGAATATTCAGTAAAGTATAGGAAATAATATAGCAGCACCTATTTTCCTGTCACCCAGATTTAAAAGATAATACCTTTGTCCTATGAACTTCAGTTCAAAACTTTTAAAGGAAATAAAATGTAACAAATAACACTTAAAACCAGCAACCCCTATCCGCCCCTTACAGTAACTATTGTCCTAATGGTGTCATGTTTCATTCCCATACATGATACTTTTACTATAGTGCCCTTATTAATGAAATACATACTATTTTTGGTTGTTAGTTATTTAGCATCAAAATAGCAGTTGTCTTTTTAAATAGCATTATGCTTTTGAGCCATACGGATCAATGAGATTGCAGTTTGTTCATTGAACAGCTATGCCATATTTGTTTGATGAACCTTTTTGTTTCCTAGTGCTGCTGTAACAAATTGCCACAAACTGGGTGACCTAGGACAGCAGACATTGTTCCAAGTGAGCAGACAGGCTCTTCCTGAGACCTGTAGAGAAGGATCCTAACTTTCCTCTTCCAGCTTCCAGTGGTTCCCAGCAACCCCCAGCTTTCCTTGGCTTGTGGACATACCGTTCCAATCTCCATCTTCACACGGCTTTATTTTCTGTGTATCCGTCTCTGTGTCCAGGTCACCCCTTTCTTATTACGATAAATACTAACAACCAAACACATATTTGTATCTAGATACTTAGTCTTCTGTTTATAAAATAATATCCTAGTGTATCTTGTTTTCTCAGTTTATGGAGCTTTTATTTTATTATTACATTTTAATTATTATCTTACTAATCTTATCATCTTAGTTATTTTTTTGTTGTTGTTGGGGATTCATTGAGGGTACAAAGAACCAGATTATACTGCTTGCGTTTGTTAGGTAGAGATCCTCTTGTAATGGTGTCCCATCCCCAAGAGGTGTGTCACACAGGGTAACTCCCCATCCACCTCCCTCTTTCCTTCTCTCCACTTCCCCATTCCCCCACCCACCCTGCCATGCACTAGTATCAGTGGTCCTCATATCAGACTTGAGTACATGGGATTCTTGTTTCTCCATTCTTGTGATGTTTTACTAAGAAGAATGTGTTTCAGCTCCATCCAGGTGATACAAAAGATGTAAAGTCACTATCTTTTTTAGTGGCTGTATAGTATTCTATGGTATACATATACTACAGCTTGTTAATCTATTTCTGGATTGGTGGGCATTTAGGTTGTTTCCACAATTTGGCAATTGTAAATCGAGTAGCGATAAACAGTCTAGTGCAAATGTCCTTATGATAAAATGATTTTTTTTTTCTTCTGGGTAGATGCCCAGTAATGAGATTGCAGGATCAAATGGGAGGTCTAGTTTGAGTTCTCTGAGGATTCTCCATACTTCCTTCCAAAAAGGTTGTATTAGTTTTCAGTCCCATCTGGTAAAAGTGTTCCTTCTCTCCACATCCATGCTAGCATCTGCAGCTTTGAAACTTTGTGATGTGGCCCATTCTCACTGGGGTTATATCTCAGGGTGATTTTGATTTGTATTTCTCTGATAATTAGGGACAATGAACATTTTTTCATATGTTTTCCATATGGCCATTCCTCTGTCTTCTTTAGAGAAGGTTCTATTAATCTCTCTTGTCCATTGATATAAGGGATTGCTGGCTCTTTATGTTGCTTGATTTGAGTTCTCTCTGGATCCTAGTTATCAAGCTCTTGTCCGATTCAAAATATGCAAATATCTTTTCCCATTCTGATGGTTGCCTATTTGCTTTTGTTGTCTCCTTAGCTGTACAGAAGCTTTTCAGTTTAATTACACCCAATTGTTTATTTTTGTTGTTGCAATTGCCACTGGAGTCTTCTTCATAAAGTCTTGCCCCAGACGATACCTTCAAGTGTTTTCCCCACACTTTCGTAGAGAATTTTTATTGTTTCATGTCTTAGATTTATATCTTTTATCCATCTTGAATCAATTTTAGTGAGTGGTTAGTTATCTCCTTAACGGAAATTTTGAATGCCTTTTGTTATGGAAAATCTCCAGCATTTGTAATAGTAGACAGAGTGCAAAGGACGCTGCTGAACTCACAGTCCCCAGCCCCAAGGTATCAGTGTGGGGACCTCGCTGTCCTCACCCCCACTGGGCTATTCTGAAGTCAATCCCAGACACCTGGTCACTTCATTTGTGTATACATCATGAGCAGCTTTACGGCTTATGCTTTTTTGCTTTTGGGGTCTAGCGGAAGCAATTCTGCTTTATTGCAGAAAATATATATAAAGGAAGTATCCTCCTACATTTTCTGCTAGCAGTTTGGTTTGCTTTTCCAACCAGGATTTCTAACCAGCTGATATGCTCCCTTGTGTGTGGTAGACTGGGCTCCACGGTAATGTTTTCTTACAGAGACAGCTCAATGTTGCATCATTGCCCCTTAATTGGCCGGACCCCTCCCCCCACGAACTCCTCCTGCACCCTGCAGTGATCTGACAGACCCCCCCACTGTATGTGACCCAGCTCTGTCCGCTCTGCACCTGCGCCCCACCCTGGGACCTTGGCAGGGGACTTTGGCTTCTCTCTCTGCAAATGCCTTGCCTCCTGGGGTCACCCTGAGCTGTTGACCCTGCTTCTTAGTTCTCTGAGCAAACAGATGCAAAAAACGGAACATCCACAGTCTCCTGCCCAGCATCTGCCACCATCTGTGTTTGTGTCCACATCCCCTTCCTTCCCTCTCAGTGCTCTGGAAGACCTGTCCCTGCTTCTCCTCTGGGCGCTGGATCCCCTCCCTCCCACCTGCCCTGCTGCAGTTCCCTCTCTGGTGACGTCGATTTTGCTGTGTTCTGTTTTCCCTCTATGGTATCATTCTCATCCACATACAAATATGCTGAAATTTCCTCCATTAAAAAAAAAAGTCTTTTGGCTCGGCACCTGTGGCTCAAGCAGCTAAGGCACTAGCCACATACACCTGAGCTAGTGAGTTTGAATCCAGCCTGCCTGCCAAACAATAATGACTGCAACCAAAATATAGCTGGAAGTTGTGGTGGGTGCCTGTAGTCCCAGTTACTCGGGAGGTGGAGGCAGGAGAATCACTTGAGCCCAGGAGTTGGAGGTTGCTGTGAGCTGTGA